TCATTTTAGTGGTGTCCAAGCTGTGGCTTGTTCTGACTGCGATGGCCAAAAAGCCACTAGGTATACAGAAAAGGATCCTGTGGCTTTGTGCATATTTATTTACTATGCTTACTCCTTGGGGTCCATTGTTGCACAAAAGTTGCTTAGGGTCCAGAACAACCCAAACATTTGTTTTTGATCATCCTGAAGTGTACCTGCACCTTGCTTTACTGACTTGGGACGGAACCATTCGTGATAATATATACACGTTCCTTGACGGTTGAAAATGTAAACATTGAAGCAACCCATAGTTCGCGAAATGTGAGGTGTGAGGCTTCCCGGGGCACTTACACCGTGTGACAGCAGTGCAGCGAAACTGCCTCGTGTAAGGAAAGCGCCATGCCGGTACATATACCCCGCTGGCGGACGGTCCCCTGTCCGCAACGCCGTACATCCTGACCGTTCCAGCGGACGCCTAGCGGACGGTCATGGAAACGATGGTCCAAAGCTCCAAAACATCTGTATGTAGATGATTCACGAGACGCTAATAATTAATGCTCCAGCTTGCACTCCTTGGCAAGCAATTAACGCGCAAAACACTCGCCAGGAGAAACTAACCCCAAAATTGTGACGCACATAGTCAAAAGGCTTCTAGCATAAAAGGAGAAAGCAATCGAAAGAAAAAAGACAACATCCCAAGGCGCGCGGCGGACATTCTAATGACCTGTTTATGTAACCTGCTTAAATAACACCAACGCACTGGAACAATTAAATCATGCAATAAGGTCATTGCAATGGCCACAAGCACTGGGCATTAGTGAAAGGGATTCAGCAAAAACTGACCGTCACGCCCAACACGTCGTTCCATCCCTTTGTCGGCTCTGAATGGCACAATGAATGCTCTACTGGGTAAATGATCATTTGGCGGTGGAAATAGGCCATTGTATGGCATCCGAGCTGGCGCACAGCTTGCGCATGTCCCCAAGACCCAACACGGCACCACGCCCCGCACCCGGTTATGCCCTTGTCCTGCATTCCGCCTGCCAGCCTATCTGTGCAACACAGCGCATGGCGGACAGGCCAACCAAGCCATACCAAGGTTTCAGTGAAGACTGGGGTCCCAAGCTCTCAGAATCCCAGACTGCCAGGCTCCCAGGCACATAGGCTGCCAGGCACACAGGCTCTTAGAATCCCAGGCTGCCAGGTTCCCAGGCTGCCAGGCACATAGGCACACAGGCTCTTAGCATCCCAGGCTGCCAGGTTCCCAGGCTGCCAGGTTCCCAGGCTCCCAGGCACACAGGCTCTCAACATCCCAGGCTGCCAGGTTCCCAGGCTGCCAGGCACACAGGCTCAGGCTGCCAGGTTCCCAGGCTGCCAGGCACACAGGCTCAGGCTGCCAGGTTCCCAGGCTCCCAGGTTCCAGGCACACAGGCTCCCAGGCACAAAGGCTCTTAGAATCCCAGGCTGCCAGGTTCCCAGGCTGCCAGGTTCCCAGGCTGCCAGGTCCCCAGGCTGCCAGGTTCCCAGGCTGCCAGGTTCCCAGGCTGCCAGGCCCCCAGGCTGCCAGGTCCCCAGGCTGCCAGGTCCCCAGGCTGCCAGGTCCCCAGGCTGCCAGGTCCCCAGGCTGCCAGGTCCCCAGGCTGCCAGGTCCCCAGGCTGCCAAGTCCCCAGGCTGCCAGGTCCCCAGGCTGCCAGGTCCCCAGGCTGCCAGGTCCCCAGGCTGCCAGGTCCCCAGGCTGCCAGGTCCCCAGGCTGCCAGGTCCCCAGGCTGCCAGGTCCCCAGGCTGCCAGGTCCCCAGGCTGCCAGGTCCCCAGGCTGCCAGGTCCCCAGGCTGCCAGGTCCCCAGGCTGCCAGGTCCCCAGGCTGCCAGGTCCCCAGGCTGCCAGGTCCCCAGGCTGCCAGGTCCCCAGGCTGCCAGGTCCCCAGGCTGCCAGGTCCCCAGGCTGCCAGGTCCCCAGGCTGCCAGGTCCCCAAGCTCCCAGGTCCCCAAGCTCCCAGGTCCCCAAGCTCCCACGCTCCCAGGCTCTAAGAATCCCAGGCTCCCAGGTTCCCTAGCTCCCACGCTCCCAGTCTCCCAGATTCCCAGGCTCTCAGAATCCCAGGCTCCGAAGTAAACATGCTATCAGAAACCCATGCTTACAGAATCCCAGGCGCCCACGCTCCCACGTTCCCAGACTCCCAGGCACACAGGCTTTTAGAATCCTAAGCTTCCAGGCACACAGGCTCTCAGACACACAGGGTCCCATGCACACAGGTCGCCCATGGCTGCGGTCCAATCCTGGCCCCAAACCGCCAGATAAATATGCTCCTACATAAAATTAACTTAGCCGAATGCTAGTTTAAGCTTTGTTTACATTTCATGCATTTGCTGGCGCCTAGCGCTTGCATCGATGTAGCCCCCAGTAATAGCACATTGCATTACATTATCCATGAAAAGGTTGTAAAATTTTAATTCACTATAAGCTCAGCAAATTGCAAGGGTAAAGGGCTCATCTGGACGCAGTTTGCATGCCGTGCTGCCGGCTTGCGCAAGGAATCTCTGCGCGCGCTCCACGCCCGCGCGCGCCGCGAGCACCAGGATAAACTACAACAAAATGTCTTTTGCTTCGTGCAAAAATAC